CCCATATATGTGTATGTACATAGATCTACATCTACAGGGATCATTACTTACAATCTATGGAGATTGATAAATACTGGTCAAAAGCCACAGTTGATAAGATATGCAAACACGCAATCTCACTCTTATCATCTCGGTTTTACTCTGAACCATACATCTAAATACAATTGTTTCCACTCGGATCTTCCTCTCACAACCTCATACAAGACTTACTGCATCGGTCTAACCGCCGACACTGATTCCGCTACAACCTCCATTGTTGCTCAAGCTCATAACTTTAACAATATACTGCCCGTGATGAATAGCCACACAGCTCAGTGTTTACCCGCGGAGTTCAGCCACCTTTTTCGTGGAACCTTCTACCCAAAAAAATTCAAATGGTAGCAATGGAAACTGAGTGCACCGGGAAAAGTCTCAAAAAATCTGCAGCGCCAGCCAGGCGAGGCCTAGACACCGGGACCACATGAGGTGCGCATATCCATCTATATCTCACTTCTTTGTAACAGTTGACGTCGACTTGATCCAATCCACCATCTCCGTATCGGGTGCTGGGTGCGCTTCGGAAACTCATCCGATGGTCTCTCCTCCACTATCAAGGATTGGTAATGAGAAGCGCTTCGACCCTACCATCTGATCTGATCGTGGCTAGCTTCATGATAGTAAGGACAGGGGAATTGATTTGGAGATGAAGACGATACAGACTGCGAAAGCGATAGGAAATCCTCATCGAAGTGAAGACGAAGGTCTTACTCAATCTCGGCTCTACTGACTCGACAGTGAGAGCTGGAGGTTTGTAGGGGACACCACTGGCAGGTATTGGGTTTCGTCCCCCCATTGGTCTATCCTCATTTCAGGAAACCAGAATAAACTTCGAATATTTCGTTCCATCCTTCAGATCATGTCAGACAGCTGACCGTTTAGAACATTCTGAAACTAGGAATGAGAATCAACATGCATTGGGATAACACATCCTCTCGGATCAACTCTCTTGAGCTTTGAGATCTCACTAAGAATATACTGTTCAGGATGTTCAGCTTGGTCAAAGCTCCAACTTGAGACCTCTTGGTCTTCAACACATGTAGTATACTTCATAAGTAATTTGGTTGAGAAGGAGAAGATTTTCTCATCCGGAAGTAGTTTTAGATTTGTTGTAGCATCAAGACCGGAGGGGAGTTGAGTTGTAGAGATTTAATCAATATACTTTAACATTTTTCATTTGACCCTCAGTGTCTAACAGATCACGACCTTATTTCGTGACACTAGCTCAACTAGATGATACTCTTCCATTTTACTAGCTATAGTCAATACTAGGACTAGTTATCACAGTCCGGTTCGCTTCCCTGAGATATCATCGACGGGTTTTACTTGTTGGAGATTTTGTTTGGATGCCTTTTTCACTTGTGTTACAAGAAAAGATGCGAGTAGTTGCGAGTTAATGAGTAGCTTGACTTTATCAAATTCTGCTTCAAACCGGGGCCATAACCTGTTAAGGAATGGTCCCTGTCGACTACTGAAAAGTGCATAATAGGAGTTAATTTGATCATGTTCATGTTTATTATTATTATCATTAATTCAATTTATTGGTCTGTCTGAGTCTATGACTATGTAGGTGTGACGGAAACCAAGTTGGTGATGAATAAGTCGATTTATTAAACTATATGAGAAAGGAGAACTCTACCTACTACTAACAGTTGTATGTAAGAATTGGTCCCCTTCGTCAATCTCTAGACTCAAAACTTATCCTTAGGCAGAATACCTACTACCAAGCCATGAATTACTAGGTGTTACTTAGTTATAGTAACGCTGAGACCTCCTGACTAGTAGTGCCCTCTTGTTCAGCTTCATCTATCCCTCCCCATACAGACTTGTCGTAAACATTCTCAACAATACGCTTAGGTATCCACCTAAGCTTAAACAACGGTTAAACCGTAGCAGTTTTACATGCAGTTCCTCTCTGCCTATAGGCCAAGAATACCTATACCAGTAGTATATCCCATCCTGTGCCTCCCATACAGCTCCCCTCAAACAGTGCCACCCCTCACAAGTCCTCACTCGATCATGCAATTAAGGGAGCACTTTTCCCTTCATTATCTCGCCTCTCCAGCCAACGAAACGATAGCCATTCGCGGGTGTATGGCAGCCGGAAAAAAATCGCAAAAACCACTGGGTGCGGGGCTCTTCTAATACCGACATTAGGAATAAATCCGAAGACATATTGCCCCTTCTGAAGCGTTCGAAGAGGCCGGCTAGCTGGGCGCTGCAGACTTGTGGGTAGCTCGGGAAATTCACCCTCTGCCTTTCTAGCCTCCTTCCAACTCCTTCCCGAAGGCCGTGCTGAAATGTCAGAAAAGTCTTGACAGAGCGTAATTGCTCAACGATAGCTTAGCCCAACTTCTTTTGTACCTTCCAGGGCGCTGGGGAGTGCTGATGACTCATCGACAAAAGGAGTCCTCGTGACAATTATGCCCAAATCTTAGTCTTGGCGTCCACAAGCGTTTCATATTTAAAAACTACACGAAACTATCGCTCCCGGTGTGGTCTTCAGAGACCTCTTTTCCCTCTCCCTCCACATCTCAGCCGCTTGTTCTCCCTCAAATTGTTTCTCCCATTAGAGAAACGATCCCCCATACGTCAGGACCAAGGCTTTGTATATCATGAATTAATTTCCTCCTTGCGGGTATACGTAGCGTCGTAAATATGTAGTAGGAGATGGCTGTTAATTAATTTAGCAAGCTCCTGTTTACAATTGGAGCAACTTCTTTTTTGGTCGTTGAGGCGAGATGATGCGTGATTAGAAAGAGATTGAGGACTCAGATGAGAATGGTAAGAGAGACATAATCGAGAAGTCGTCAAATGGAAATATGCATGTGTTTGCTTTGACTTCGATTCGATTGCGGTTCTTTTTGGCTATCCCAGGTATGCAGAGCATACTGAGCACTAGCACCATTGGAGGGTGAATAATTCGTCTTTGCTGGCTGTTTTGGGCTATACCAAGCATTTTTTATGTGCAGATTCTCCTCTGTCTAAAATTGCTGCGGCCTCGCTCCTGTTCATGTATCGCTGCTAGGCTCATCTGCATGCTTGCATGGAGATACTCTTGCAGAGTTTTGAAATTCTTCAAATACCAGCATTACTCCCGCATTGACAAAAATCGCAACCGCAATTCCATATTGTTAATATATGGGGATGATTATATTTGAAAAAAATCCTTGTATTTGGATAATAGGCTTTTAAGGACAGATAGTAACACTAATACTCACCCGAATTATCTTAGATATATCTGTACAGAGCTCTGGAAGGAATGAAAATTTTAACGACTTTGGAGTGAGTTGTGGAGTCAGTTAAACAGTTTTTGATGGGTTTCGATTGACTGGGCGAGGCTGACGGCCTGTCATCGCGTTCTATCCATTTTGGCAAACATCTGAGGCTTGAGCAGAGCAGTAGTGTGAGGTGGATCCCTGAACGTGCCGTAGCTCAACATGATTTCACAGTGATTGTCCATCTCACAAGTAAAATTTAAATCTTTAATTGAAGTGGTTTAGCCGGCAAAGTTGAATTCTTCCCCTCCCAGTAGTGCCGGTGTAATCGCCCAGTATGCTCTGTATACCTGTGATAGCCAAGAATCACAACCGAATGGAAGTCAAAGTTAACCTCAAGCATATCTAAAATCGATTACTTCTCGTTGATGTCGGACCGATCATTCTCACGCGAATCTTCTACTCCAATCTTGCTAAACCACCTCGTTTCAACTACTGACAAAAGCGTTACTGCAATCGCAATCGAGAGTTTGCCTAACCAAAAGTCAGCTATTCCCCAACTTAAAGTTATGATATTTGTATACCGGCAAAGAAAAATCTAAGTCATAATTTACAAAGCTCAGGTCTAGGTGTATGGGGGAATTTGGTTTTAATGGGGATTCATATCTTGAAGAACAGGCAGTTGGAAAGTGGGACGAGCGAGCGAAGAAGTCGCTAACGGAAATGCTGGAACATAGAGTTTTCGAGTGTTTTCGACTTGAGGGTGTCTATGGAAGCAAAGGCAACAATTTCGGATGGTGAGACCGACACTCTAAAAATAGGCAACAATGGAAGGTGTTTTGGTCCGCCTCCAGGTCATCTCCCTGAATTCAAGTCTGGGTAGTCCGGACACCTTCCTCACTCGAGAAAGGGAGCACTGTGATGCCATATCTCGCGCGGCGGCTAAGGTCAAGGTGACAAAAGTATGTTAGTGTAGCCAAAGGTTTTTTCCAGTTTTGCCTTTGGTGGATATTCACAGTTGAGGGAAGGGTGGTAGTCCCTAGCACCGAGGGCTCGAGTGGCATCAGCGAATGAACCTAATACATGAGTACTCCAAATGTCAAACTGAGATATTGTAGTGTATAGTCGTCGGGGAAGGACCAGCCTTCCGCGTGTCTTGCTCTGTGAGTGCTAGGCTGGTGCCCGACACCAACGCAAATTCATTCATCCATTCATACATTTATTCATGGGGAGTGGATTGCGTGTAGCGACAGCAACCCTTGTTCAACATTATCCAGTCAGGGCAGCCTATCGGGATACTTTAAACTAATCCTCCGGTTGCCGGGCCAGTAGTAATGTCATCCAATGCTACAGCCCATCTATTATGATGCCCTTCTCGTGCTTTACACAGTACACATACTCAATATTTTTCTACTTCTACGTCCGAGGTTGTGTCACAAAGCTCAAATTTTATTCTATTCACGAAACGAAAAGAGTCCTGCCGATCACAAAACCGAACTTAGAACCTATCAGACTACATTATTTATCTGAAAATACAAAATCAAATATAAATCCTCCCCTTCTTTTCAACGAAATTTTCTGACAAATTAAGGATAGGTTAAAATTTTACCACTACTCCTGTTTGCCTCTTATTTACAAGACACCGTCACGACTCATCAGAATTTTCGAGTATATTAGATAGACATCTTCAGATATAGCAAAGCGCCTTGAACATTATTTTCGAGCCTAGGCTCCGCATTAAACATCATGCCAGAAGAATACGAGGATGCTTCATTTCGTGAAAGTACGAATAACTCATGCGGTATTGATTATATTTTAATCTCATTGACAATTATATAGGGATTCTAGCATCAATAAGTTTCCACCATATACTCATGGTACTGGTTGTCGTAGCTATGATATTACTATGTAAGTTTGAACGTTTATTCACCTTTGTATGTTTTGCTTCTTACTCCATCTAGCACTTTTACTCGCAGGTTGCTCCTCATCATCACCACTTATACCTGGAATATTCCTTATATCTCTTTATTACCAAAAATACGTTCCAGTGCCTTCGACTGCTCAAGTTGATTATAACGCGCACAACGCTATTGCCGTCGTCGCCGGAGAAGCTGTACTACAATGCAGGGTTGGCTATTTCGGAATTTGTATCAATCCTGATGGGGGCTCTTGGCTTTGCAGCAACAACGCAACAGCCCTTGCAAACGAGATAGCCCTATCACAAGACCCGCTAAATTTGGTTTGGCTGGCAAGCCAATTTAAGGATATGATTGTCTTTCCATACTTACTGTGAGTTCTGATGCATGCCCATTAATGGAAGAGGGCTTCACTAATTCTCCTGTAAATAAGCATCATTGCAGTTTTGTTTGCATTTCTTTGTCTACTCATCCTCGCAACTTTTCCTAACTGGGAGAACGAAGGAGAGGGTGAGCAATTGCATCTGGTTAAACGTTTTCCCACACGGTCAGTCGCACAAGTTACACTGATCACAATATTCATATCCTGCGCGTTTGTGTTAGTGTCAGTTCTATGGCAACACACAGCCTCTGTTGCCGCTTCAATTATCGTCCAGGACTTCGGAAACGGAAGTGTAAGAAGTGGCGTTGGCACATCAGCTATGGTCCTCGGATGGTTTGGTCTAGTATTCCTAGTCACTATCATGATTGGACTACTGTTCTATTGCCTAACCCACTTATCTATGAGACAAGCAGAAGAAGGAAGATGAGAAAAGACAGCCAACTATTACCAAAATTTACGCAAAGGATTTACGCAGAGCTCATGTCATAGATATGTGTCAGTGAATTGTCGGTACGGTTTTATTGCAATAGGGTATTTGAATTAGCAGCAGGTATGGCGTTGGGGTAACAAGAGAAATCTCAGAAAGACTGAGTATAAAGGAGGCTGGGATTTATTTAGAGAACACAAAATTAAGAAAGGGAATTTACGAAACGAATTAACGTCGTGCAAGAGATCGGACCCTCACGTCCTCTGACCACAAACAATTGTCAAAGTAGAGCAAGTCCAGCTACGAATGAATAATATGAATCGTTGCTCATTAATTAGATCTACTATAATCAACCCCTCTTGCACCCTTGTGATAACATGTCACTTCTTTTTTCTCCGAAATCTCTCGCTACACGCCGGTTGACCTTTTGCGCCGGAGTTCCGCAATTTCAGCCGCTTGTAGTTTTGATGCACTACAGCTCCCACTCTCCTAGAGCTACGTCCATCTGCCGTGACAAGTGTCTTGTTAGATTTAGGTCGGCGGTAGCGAGTCTCTCCTTCAGATGCCGTGTATTCCGACTGGGTGTCTGAATCAAAGTTTCTTGCTGAGTCACTGAGCTGATCCACGTTGTTTTCCTGGCCCTCAGATAAAGCTGGATGTATGCTTCTTTTTTCTACATCGCCTGCTTCTCTGGAAGAAGCTAGCATGGGTCGAGTTGGTTTCATTTTAACTTTACGAGTAGTGCGTTTTTGTCCTTTTTTCTTGAAGATCTTGACAGCTTGACTCGACTTTTCTTGGCCAGATCCTGACCCACCATTGGATCCTATCGTTGCAGAATCTTCATTGAGAGTAATTTTGGGTCCTTCAGCGTACTTTGTGAGCTCCCCTAAGTCAGCTGGCTTTTGCTTTGGTCGCGCTAGGGGTTGACTGTAGCCATATTCCTCGGCTTCCATATCACGAAGTGCCTCAAGATCTTCATCGAGATAAGCTTCTTGGACATTTCGCAGGTCAGCGAGAATACTGCTTAGACTTTTGATCTGAGGTTTTTTAACAGCTGCCGTTATTCGGGGTGGAAGGCTTAAGGATTCTTCGTCTATCTCTAACACTGGTTGGAGTAATCTGTGGTCTCTCCGAAGGAATGATGGAGTGGAAGGATGGTACTTGGACACAGATACAGGTGTTCCGACTCCAAGGTTATTTTGACTTCGAGTTTTTGAAGGTGTTACATACGAGTCCGGAACTTGATGTTTTCTTGAAGGCGTCAAAACTGTGGTATCCCTTACAGCTACGGCTTGCACCGAGTCTGACTTACAAGACACAGTTTCCATGCAAGGAATTGAGCCACCTTTTTGCTTGATTCTTTTTCTTTTCGGAGTAATCGTCCCCTCTTCGTCAGCTAGAAGATCAAATAAGCCCAACACCTTGCCCTCTTTTTGCGGTGTCGGCGCGAGTGATTTTCTCGATGGCGTAAATAAACTTCTGACGACCGATGGGGAATCATATGGGTCAATCTTCCAGGGTGAATTACCAGCCGCGCTCGGCGTTTGCACGGATTCTGGCTGATTACTCTCATCATGGCTCATTTCTTGGAAGTTTCTTCTTCTTGGAGTCCGACATTTGCTTGATTGATCGGCTAGGCGCGACTTTTCCGCGAGAACCTCACGCATCCGGTTGTATTCTTTGTATTTTGCCGCTAACTTGCATGAGCTCAGGTCTGGTATGCGAATTGAAGAGCCTTACCGATATCAGCCCTCTTTTTTATATCATCCCGGGAGGCTTTTACTCCATTGTTTTCCACCGAAAATTCCTTTTCCCATTTCTTGAGCTCAGCTCTGAGAGCGTTCATTTGCTGCATTATTTCATTCTGTTTCAGAGGTACCATAGTTTATTCCAACAGGAAGCGCCGTACCTCATGCCAATACTTATGCTCCTTGGCTTATATTCGACTACAGTGTGGTAAGAAATGGTTGTAAATATAGTTGCATTGGTTAGAGTTTCATAGCCGTCATCTGGTCGTTGCGGCGCATAAAATCAACAACGCGACCTGGAGTACCGCGTTAATAACATATGGATATTTCGTTGAATCACTGTTAAATATTATCGGGTATCTCGGTGCTACAGATGAAAATAACTATAGCGAAATTCACAAAATATAGAGTTCTGTTCTTTTATGATATTCCATGTTTGTTTATTTATTATCGATAACGTCGTTTCCGCGCACAGCACGTGAGCCCCTCACGTACCGGCTGGCTCAGCCTTGACAGAATTACCCGGCTGGTGCCCGGGCCACGCAGGTATTTTTGGGAACGTAAAAGTTGTCTGTGCGGCACCAGCTCCACAACTAGCACTTTCTAATGAGTGCTCATTTTGTAAATTGAGTCATCTATTAAACACTTCTCTGATATTGTGTCATAGCTAGATAGCTGCATACGCAATCAAAATCCGATGTATAAAAAGTAAAAAACTAGCACTCTCCATTGCTAGAGCAAGGATGCAAGTTAAAGCCTTATACGAAGCCTCAGTAGCGCTCCCAAGGGCTGAAAAATTACGGACTAGATGTGAATCGTGGGTATTGGACCTAATACTAATATGACCATTGAGCTCTCCCGCCTGGGGCGACGCACACTCGAATTCCCACTAGCTACATGTTCCGCACATGGCGATTTCTCAAACTGTCACCAACAGTTTCACCACGAAAACGCTGACCTAGGAGGGCAATGACTGAACATCTGTACGCAGTGTGCTCTACGAAATTGAGAGGGAAATATTCTGCTAGAGCTAAGTTCAGTCAAATATCGCAATACTCAAGAGGTTGGCCCACGAGGCAATGATTCAAAATATTCCACCATTTCAATTTTTCACTCCCAAAGAGATAGAATCTTACCTAAGCCTCATCAAGTCTTCAAGTACGACCCTGTGCACCCTCATTCCAATGACCACCGCTCGCATCGACTATTCTCTGGCCTCAGCTTGTCATCAAATACACGCCCTCGCCGAAATTCATACCCAACGGAGGAAGCAAAGCGTGGCACACAAATCTAGGTGACAGTTCTTTGGGATGGAAGTAGGAAGGATAAGGACAATTTAAGTAGATGACACGGATGTAACGGCTTGTGAGCCGATTGTTGTATGGCACGTGATTGTATTCACGTGCTTCTATAATTCTACGTTATCGTGTGTGTGTTTAATGTTCTACTTGAGTCTATGACTATCTAGCACATTGGGCTCCTCTCTGACCCAGGCCACACCTTATACAGTCCTCCTATCCTCTTTTGTTACTTGAAAGATCATTGGTATATTCCCCTTGATGAATAGCCATTCAGCTCAGTTTTTACCCGTGGAATTCGGCCACCTTTTCTACGGAACCTTCTACCAAAAAAAAAAAAATGGTAGCAGTGGAAACTGCGTGCACGGGAATAAGTCTCAAAAAAACTGTTCCCCAAGCCAGGCTAAACCGAGACACAAGAACCACATGAGGTGCGCATATCCATCTATAACTCCCCTCTTTGTAACAGCCGAGGTCGACTTGATCCAATCCACCATCTCCGTATCAGGTGCTGGGTACGCTCCGGAAACTCATCAGATGGTATCTCCTCCATGATCCAGGGTTGGTGATGAGAAGGGCTCCGACCCTACTATCTGATCAGATCGTGGTTAGCTTCATGATAATGGTGATAGGGGAATGTGTTGAGGGACGAAGACGGCACAGACCGCGCAAGCGATTGGGAATCCTCGTCAAAGTGAAGACGAAGGTGTTACTCAATCTCGGCTCTGCAGACTCTACAGTGAGAGCTGGAGGTTTGTAGGGGACACCACTGATAGGTGTTGAGAATAGTCCCCCTATAATTCTACAGTAGTCTAGCTTTATTCCAGATCAGTTCAGCTGTGACTGGAATATTCTAGTAATTGGTAGCAAGACTGGGAACTACTATGACTGGAATAAATGAGAAGCAGGTATCAGCCAAAAACGAGTATTCTAGAGATCTTCATAAATGTATAAATAGTTGAAGTAATACTCTGGTAGTTAGCCATAGAGAAAATTATAAACTACCTTCGTATATCTGGTTGCTCCAGCATCGACACTTGAACCGTGACAACGGAGGATGGATACAATCTCGACGGACGTGGAATTCTAGATTTTGGCAAGGAGTTTCTCGATTTGAGCTTTATGCGTGCTAAGACTTCGCTTGCGATAGTATAGCTGACCCTATAAACACAAGTCATCGATGGAATGTGCCATGGTCCGCCTCCTGGTGGTGTTTTTTGGTATAGATAGAGTAGCCTGGGTACCTACTCCACCTGAGAAGGAGAAGTCGTAGACCACATTTCATGCGGAGAAGCGTAAATGGATGATGGAGGGATGGAGGGATGTCTGGATAACCCAGAGTTTTGAGACGTTCCCCTGGGTGGGTATTCACGGATGAGGGGTTACTTGGGAAGAAGAAAAAGCTACCAAAACTTCGCAGTGATACTTGAATGAAATCCGATGCATGAGTGCTCTTCTTGTAAACTGTTTCATATACTATACACTTCTCTGATATTGTGTCCTAACTAGAGAGCTGCAGACTCATTCAAAATCTGATGCAAATAAACAAAAAAAAAGAAAGTGGTTGTGTTTTGCTGGACTTGAACCAGCAACCTACTGTCTCGAGTGGAATATGTGTACAAGCTATCCAGTCTTTACTTAGCAGACCGGCCGAGACAATGTACCACCGCACCATCCAACCATGGCGGCGTTCATAGCGTCGTCTGCAGTCTCGCAACCGAAGCCTTGGCACGCACAAAGCTCAATTTGTAAAAACTCGCTAAAGTTCGAAATCTCACATTAGTCGAGGGTGTATTGCTATAATAATGAGGTCTTGAAGAGACAGAGGAATACCTGAAATGGATGCATATGATTATGGATATGCCGATATAATTGATGTAGCTGTATTGCGAAGATGCGTTGGAATGGATAGTGGTAAAATGATTATCTACTTATTCACGGAAGTATTGCTTCCTTATATACACGTTCAACCCCCAGTCCTAATCACGAACTCATCACAGGTGCTTCCTGCTCCTGTCACAGTAACCACTTCCAAAGCCACTACCAATATCTCCTGACATAACTTACATGAATACTGGTTGCTAGTGTGGACCTTCCGGGACTACAGAGCTACACACCATCGTCACATTATATGCTGTTGCCCCTCGGTAGCCATCAGAGTGATGTGTACCTCATTCTAGACGCATTGGTCTACCAGGCAACGCTCGGACGTAGGGATGTTGCCAGAGTGATTAAGTCTTCAGCTGTGCTGTCAGTGCCATAATATCATCTAGCATCCTGCGCCCGAGTGCCCAAGTGCCGCGATGGTGGAAGCTCGATGAGACTCGATCGGAGCTGATCCGTGGTATTCACAACATGTATCCATCCTCTACATCATCTTGTGAACTTGTCCTGATCTCTCAAACGCCCATGCCGAACATCTATCTCCCAGATTTGTGCGCCACGCTTTGCTTCCTCCGTTGGGTATAAATTTTGGCGAGGGCGTGTATTTGGTGACCAGCTGAGGCCAGAGAAAGTCGACAAGAGGTGTGATCATTGAAATGAGGATGTACTTGGTCGTATTTTTAGACTTGATGAGGCTTGGATAGGATTCGAACTCGTTGGGAGTGAAAAATTGAAATGGTGGAATATTTTGAATCATTGCCTCGTGGGCCATCCTCTTGAGTATTGCGATATCTGGCTGAACTTGGCTCTGGGAGAATATTTCACTCCCAGATTCGTAAAGGACACCGCGTACAGATGTTCAGTCTTGCCCTCTTGGCCATAACAGATAAAGACGGTACAGACCGCGAAATCGATGGGGAATCCCCATCGAAGTGAGGACTTTGATACCCATTCTCGGCTCTGAGACATCGCTGTGCATGCCTTCTCATGATAATTTTAAGGCTTCATAGTTTCATGAGCATCCTTCATTGTGGTTTGTACTCCTCATCAGTCTTACCTAGAACATGCATTCTGTCATTTTTAGCAGATTCTCTACGATTTTAAGGTTATAATCTATGAAGGTAGCCACACTCCACTGCCTATGGATTTGGTCGTCGTTGACACTTTTCGCAAGGCGACTAAGGCACTGGATTTACTCTCATCGGTGTTAACACCCGCCTTGTTTGAGCACAAATGGTCAAATTATCTCTTAGAAGACGAGGAAAGTATAAAAATGTAGTTGACCGTGTCTAATTGATGATAATGGAGGTGAGATTCGCCGCGCGGTTTTGACAATTATGGTGTATGTCGTATTTGTGGATTATAAATAAATTTAATTGCAAATCGTTACCTTATCAGGGTAGTAGTCGACTTAGTAGTCTGCTGGGATCCAGCGACAAAAACGTTGGATTCCCGCACGGATCTGAAATTGCCCGCGGCATTCGGATCGATTATGTTTAAAATCCCCGGTCCGGATAACCGATGAGCAATCTGCCTGATCACTTGACTGCGATTGAGTAGAATGGATGTCATTCGAACTATTTTGCAGCCAACTTATTTATTCTCAAACTGATTCTTGTAACTGATTCCAACTTCTCTCTTAGACCGGGGCTACATAAGATACTTTTTACCAAAAACTGAGACATGTCAGGGCAGGGCAGGTTTAAAAACGTGATATAAATTTTCTTTAAGCAGTTTGATTTATAATTCACATTTGAATTTGATTTCACCATCATAATTTGGTACTCTGTAAGCCCACGCAGATACCTTTGAAGTTTTAATATCCACACGGGAGAAATCGAGTCGGAAAATACTCCTCGTACCTTCGTAATTGATATCTTTGGTTCGCCTAATTTTCCATCTGTGTCGATAGATCCGGGTAATAGATACTATCTATTCGCAGGGCTGTGTCG